TCACTGTGTCTAAATACAGTCTCCAGATAGGTAACAGACTAACAGATGTTGAACAATTAAGTAACAATTTATACATTCAAATGTGTTTAAATACAAACCACGTGCTGTTGATTAATGATGAAGACAGGTCTAATGAAAGAAAGAGGAAGCCAGCTATCATCAGCAGATTGTAGTAGAGTTAGAGCTTTCTTTTTCACACAATGATAGAGACCTCTGCTGGACAAATGGAGGGACAGATGCTTTGCAATATGGGTTTTCAAGCAATTTTTACGGACTTGTATCTCAAGGGCCAATATGAAATAAGTTATTTTGAATGGAATTTAAGGACTGGGAAATGTGGAGATATTTGTCTTTGTTGGCCTAAATAACAGATAGAGATGCTCTCTAAAAGAAAAGATGTTTATTTAGGAATAGAGCATTGCGATAAGAATATGTATGTCATAGTAAACTATAAACTGTGTACATTCAGGGAAGGAAAGGAAGACAAAGATTTTTAAAGGCAAAAAATTAAGATTGTATAATTTTTTGAAACAATTATCTTTGGCTACTCAAATTAATAACAAGGGTGCCACCAGTCAGAGGTTGGACAGGCAATTGCCAGATAGATATCCCTACAAAAATATTTTTTGCATAGGATTGCAATGGCCTTTGTGCAAGGTTGTGGCTTTCGTAGGGTCCTTTGTTGTTGTTGTTGTTGCTATCATGCACGGGAGCATGAGAACTCTCTGTTTATGGCCTTCGCTGGCTCTATGTGCCAGGATTTTCTTAACAATAGTGACTCCACTTTGATTCTAACAACTTTCACACTTTCACAATCCAAATGAATAGATATCTCCAACTAGTTCCACCTATAGATCTGGGCATGTGAGTCTCCTTCCTGAGCTCTGCAGCCCTGAGCCTTCACGAGCCCTACATTTTGTAGCATCTTCCTCAAAAAATTTTAAGAACCCCTGTAATGTCTGGGATAGTTTGGGGCTGGCAGTGCCATCTGGGCAAGGCACCCCCAGCCAAGAACTGGACCTGGGGTCTAATCGCTGGAAGCATCGAAATGTTTTTAGTTACTATTCAGACACTGAGACCAGCAGGGAAGTAGTGCCATCTGGACATGCTGCCTGATCCAGCCAAACAGCAGGGGCCTGGGTCCCTGTTTCTTGCCTTCAGGGTTTTCATTGACACTCTACCCCATGCATACACTCGACCAGATGCCTTAGGGAGCCTAGTGACTCGCATCTGTGGAGTCATCCTGAACCAGTGATCTGACCCTGTTTTCAAGAGCGTGGTCTGGCAATTGGATCCCTCGCTCCCACTGGCAAGAATGGTATTGTATGAGATTGAATCAGTAGATTGTTGTCCCACTGATTTTTTAGTGGTTCAAAACTGTTCACATAGGAAGAGGGGCTGGCAAAAAAAAAAAAAAAAAATTCCTTGACTGTGCCTGTCACACACTAGGAGTGGTCTTGCCCTCAACAAATCCAAGTCCTCAAAGGCCTCACAGAAGTAAAGGTGCCTAAGTCATAGCCAAGAAAACTTATTTGAGGGCAAGGATGCTGCCTTGCTCACACGCAAGCACTAGGCAGACCCTGACAAGGTGATAAACAATTTATTATGTAAGTAGTCCACTGAATCATGGAACTCAAACCTTCAAGCCCAAGCACTTCAGGCCATGAAAGGGGTGGAGTTCATTGTGTTCTTTCCACATAGTTTCCTAATAGACCTTCTGAAGAATGAGTAACCCCTGGCTTCCACACTCCAGTTTCTCTCTGTTTCTCCTCTGAGGCACTCGTCATTTTGAGAATGACAAGCTAGGCCAGGCATGGTGGCTCACATCTGTAATCCCAATGCTTTGGGAGGGAAGTCAAAGGATCCCTTGAGGCCAGCAGTTCAAGACGTGCCTAGGCAACATAGCAAGACCTCATCTCTACAAAAAGTGGAAAAACTAGCCAGGCATGGTAGCACACATCTATAGTCCCAGGGACTCAGGAGGAGGATGGGTTGCGTCCAGGAGTTTGAGGCTGCAGTGAGCTCTGATGGTGCCTTTGCACCCCAGCCTGGGACAGACTGAGACCCTGCAAAAAGAAAAAAAAAGAAAAAAGAAGCTACCGATCCTCTTCTTAATGAAGGAGGTTTAGAATCCTTGTCCCCTGTCCAGTGTGTGCCAATCATAGTACCCCCCAAAAAGCACCCTCCTTCAACATACACAAACATTTACATTCCTTCTATGGATGTGCTGTATCCAGGTAGAAACTCTGGTATATAGTGCTGGCCAACATTAATATAATATAAGCCACAAATGTGAACCACATATGTAATTTTAAATTTTCTGGTAACTACATTAAGAAAAGTCAAAAGGGATAGGTGGGATTAATTTTAATCCTACATTTTATTTAACCCGATAAGGAAACAATATTCTCATTTCAACACATGATCACTTAAAATTTGTTAATTACATGTATTTTTTCTTCTACGTTTTCAAAACCTGGTGTGTATTTTACACTTATAGTATATCACTTGGATTAGGCATATTTCAAGAGCTTAATAGTCACTTGTCGTAAGTGAATAAAGTATTGGTATAGATAAATAGATATTTCTGAAGTTCACATAGCCATATGAGCCCACTGATGCCTGGATAAGAATGAGACAGACTCTCACTGGATTCAGATAATCATCCATAGAGTAAAAGATTTAGCAAACTGGTTTTGCTAAGGTCACCCTTACCGGTTAGTTGATAAAGTATGTGGAAAGATGAACATGAGATGAGTGAGGCAGCTAGGTCAATTCTATGAAAAAATGTCCTCCTTCAGAAGTGTTTTAATTGGGCTGAAAATATGCACTTGCTGGGACTTTTCTCCTGGTTAAGTACACTGTCCTGAATGTGATGCTTAAAAATAACTTTACTTACAATGGCCTTACGTCTCATTTGTATTTGGCATTTTTGCGCAGGATGTAGTTCCAGTAATCTATCAAATGCTTTGAAAACAAGACACTAGATTTTGAAATACTCCCAGTATTTCTCAGTTCTTCATGCTTTTTATTTTTATGTTTATTTACGAGAAAATAAAATATCTAGATTTAACTCACAAAATATTCCTACATTTTTCTTTGCTTTTATTTCAAGTTTTATTATTTAAAAATGTGATTTTTTTCTATTAAAATTTTGGGTGTATGAATAAATTTAAATCATAATTTAAATGTTCTTGTATTTCTCAGAGGAATAAAAGCCTGATTCATCCAACCCACCTGGTGGCTGAAAATGTTTCACTGTTTAATGAAAATGTCTGCCTCATCAATCTCTGTGTTCCCATATGGACCATTCAAGAATGTTATAACTTTTAAATGACTCATTCATTTTCATTTACATTTCAAGAGAACATTTTTATTATTATTTGAAGACTCTGAATAATAATTTATTGATATACAGTAAGGGAAATATACAGATGAGACAAATAAAATGAAAATATTCACTCACTGTACATAATGGAAACTTTCCCATTTGAAAGTGTTTACCAAGACTACTTTAGTCACCAGTGGAAAACTTTCCTAATCCATACCAAGAAGAGAAATCTTTCATAATAAAAAAAGATTTAAGTACCTATATTCATTAAACATGTGCATAATAAGTAAAACAAATTTTGGCCCTCAAACTCCACATCTCTGAATTAGATCTAGACAGCAATAAACGTGTTCTTAATTAAAGGATACTTTTAAAAAATTATACCATTCAGTAAGAAGGTTATCAGGAATGAGATTCATTTATTTATATCAATGTTCCAAAGTTAATATTATCCAGTACTATAAATTATTTGGTAAAATAAGTTATTAAAAACAGTAACATCAAAATTTGCTTCTGGCGCCTTGGTAAGATATTTTACTCTGCTAAAGAGAAACCATATCTTGGTCAAGTCCTGCAAATGTTAAGTAAGGAAGTGCTCACTACAATGAGACAAGAGCAAAAGTTGTCTTCGATAGTCTTATTTACTGATATAGTGATGAAATTTCTTGCATAGTCTTTGTAAGAGTTTGTATTAGCTTAAATCTTTCTACCTGGTCTTGACCTTAACTGGAGTTTAAATTTCTTTTATTAAAAAAAATTATATACCTTAACCTATTTAAAAATAGTAAGCATTTTCATTTAGCTTGACTTCAGCACACAGGGAGTAAGTCCTTATTTTTCAATTAGGATAGATAATTTATGAATTAATTTTGTAAGTTTAGAAATCCTGTGATATGTGTTTAAAATACACCATACTTTTCTTTCTTCCTCTTTTTATTACAAAGTTATATGAGGTATACGTATTATATATTGACACTAAATGAGAGTTTATGACCTACTGGGTAATAGCTATTTTTATCAAGCTCTTTTGAAGAAATTTAGAATTTTTTCAAAAAATATTATGAAGTTTAAAAAACAACACAAGAACCTTCCCAGAACACATCAAGTTATGGAAGTAAGAGGATATTGGAGTCAGCCAGTAGAGCAGAGCAAATTTCCTGGAGCAGTCTATGAAGAGCTCTTAAAAGTCAGCAAAAGCCTCTCCATTGTGTCAACTTGTAGCGGAAAACATATACTTGAGTTCCTACCCAATGACTATCATTTACCCCATTATATGTGAAATATTGCAAATACTTCACGTGTTGAAAAAATAAACAAATATCACACACTGTGTAGATATTTGCACTTATTTTCCATAGGAAAAGTATAAAAACAGACCTTAAGACTTGGGGACAGTATATTCAAGTGTCTGTCAGTGTACAGGCCGCATTCATTATGTTGCCACTGGGTGCAACAAATTGTATCCCCGTAGGTACTGTTTGTTTTCATTTTCTCAGTGTATGTTTATGTATGTACCCACGCCATTTTATGCATGTTAGGTTAGTAATATAAGGAAGCATTTTAAAATGTGATACTAAACAGTTGCTCAACTAAACGTTTAACAACCTGACTTCAGAATTGACACAACCTATGCAACATAATCTGAATACTTAGTTACTTCTCTTCACAGGAGGCTTTATGGAGACTGAAGCTGCAGCTCAGGAGTCCCTGGGGTTAGGCAAACTCGGAACTCAAGCTGAGAAGGATCGAAGACTGAAGAAAAAGTAGGTTTGGGGATTTTCCCCCCCTTTTTCTAACTTTTAGTAATTCTTTATTGTTATTTACAGGGAATTAAAAAGAGAGTGGTTGGAAACAAAAGAACTATATTGAAGCCAGTATTTTCCAGATATTACCTAAAACTATCAGGGCTTATGTTTCCTAGTTGTGAGCTACTGTTTAAAAGAGCATAACAGTATTTGGCCTGTGGTGGAAATAAGCCGTTTCTTCAATGTAACCATCCATGGATGTGTTTCAAAATCCTTAAAAGTAATGCAAAACCCTATTGATGGTAAAAATTAATACCTGATTGGTATGATAAAATGAGATTACACCATCTACCTTTGTTTTCTCTCGTGGCAATTATAAGTATCTACTCTCTGAAATGGAGTCAAGGAGAAACATTTCTCTGACTGATTGAATATAAACTTATTTTAGACTCAGAGCAGATTGTTTTGCATCTGTCAGGAAATTGATAGTGTATCTTTTCAGTGTATCTTTTCATTCATATATAATATGGAACATTTAAATGACTTGCAACATTGGCAAATTTTGAGTTGCAGCAGCTGTTGGAAAGCAAGTAGGTCCGGAAATAACATTTTAAAAATACATAGTAACATTTTCATTGACAAAATGGCACCTTTAGGACATGTTCTTTAAATGTAAATCAATTTCTCTTTATTCCAGAATCTATTGGTTGATTATTACTTTTCCTTCTTCTCAAATATGTCTTACATTGTGTTTTTAGTTTTCACATTTTCCTTCTTTCCTATGAAAGAATATTCACTGCTTTCATAATCATTTTGTAACAGATAGGCTCTTAGGACTATACTATACGGGCTAATCAATTGACTTCATATTTTGCTTTCTCACTTGCTTTGTAAATGTTTACTAACAATGGGGAACTATATACTTACAAGTTGCCGAACAACTCACTAACCTAATTGTTTATTAGTTTGTTAGTTACTAAAAATTATGTACATATATCCCAGTTCAGTAGGAACATTGTCCAGAAAATATGACCTTGAGAACATCATTATTTCTACAATACAATCAAATGCTCAGCCATAATCAATAATGTATATTTATTCTTTAGTTACTGATCATGCAAAAATATATTTAAATATTATCATAATCTGTTTCAAATGTCTTAATTTTGTTTAGTCCTACCAGTTAGTGATATACTCTATTTCATAACTATTTATTGAGAAAAACATTCTTCTAAAAAATACTTTCCTCTGTTAATTTTTTTAAAATGTTGGCAGTTGATTTCAAGTCTAAAAATATATAAATGGTCAAAACCCAGCCTGACTAATGGAAACAGTTTATTTCCCTTAAAAGTTAATTCTCATTTTTCCCAGAGAAATACTTAACTTAAGAATGGCAATCTGAACAGCTTTCACAATTGCATATAAGTCTGATACCGAGGCAGTGCACTGCATACTTTATTAGTTGTTGATAGAACCAACTGGAATATTTTTTTAAATAGCTACTAAAGATAAACATTTCAATTTAAAATAACATATTTAAAGTTTAGCTATTATTAACCTTATACACTGTTGGGTTGATTTGATAATAATTTTATAGACTCATTTCTCAACTACTAAGTACCCTCACAGTCAGAAACAAATACTAGTTCTTCCCTTAAATATCTTACCATGCTTGACTTTGGGTTTTATTTTGCAACATGTATTGGCAAAATGTAACTGTAAAATGTATTATGTAGAATACTTGTTTTAATATTAAGAAGAATATTAAGAACATTCTATAAGGCAAAAATGGCTAACATTTCTTAGTACAGTTGTTCCCCATGGATTAATGGTATTTAGGTTCAAATGGATTTAACAAGGCAAGTCAGAGATAATTAATGAAAGCACAAAAGTATTTCCCTTATTATTGATTATTTCATAGCAATAACCCTATGAGCATAGATATGCAACCAGTGTTCAAAGACTTATATGAATAATTGTTAACACCTATTCGGAACTTTCATGGCACTGTGGCTTGATTTCTGGATTACCAGAGAGTAAATTGTCTTCACATAATGAGTTTTATTAGACATAGACAATTTACTTTTAAATTACGTGGTTTCAAACTTTTTTTGTATTGAATTTTATGTTGTTAATTATTAATATTATTAAATGTTGACAGCCTATTCTTGAATTTTTCCAAGTGTTTAAAATTTCATTTAAACAATTCCAATTTTCTTTCTTTTTAAAGAAACCATATCCTCTTTCAGTGCACTTTGATGAGTTATGCTCTTTTCTGTGTTCAAATTTCATGTCTACTAGTCTTCTATCAAGATGAAAAATAATTTTAAGTACATTTAAAAAATAAATAAATAAAAACAATAAATGAAGCAACATTTTTCATAATGCTGAACACTATAGATTGTACGTACACAGTTGCAACCTGTGTTATCCTATCAGTTGTTTCTAAATTCTATCCACTGGACCAGCAAAATGGTATTTCCAGGGCTTAGTACTTAACACAGCTATGCTCACTATCCCATAATTCATAGCAGAGATTCAGTAGTCTTTGTGAGGATAGCCAGAACTAGACAATATCTTATTTTCAAATTTGCTAGGATAGCAGCTATTTAGAATTGACAGTCTGTAACTTTAAATTTAATTGGGAGAAATCTCTAGAGGAGTTAATTATGGTACATTTTTTAAAAAGCCATATGGGGGAGTTACTTTCAGAGAGCAGCATTTAAGACATTCCAAATTCTTGCAAAGTTCAGAAATTTGTAACTTGGCAGTCCTAAACAAAGGTTTAATTTGAGGCACACTTACCATCCAGTAAATTTAACACACATAGGTTACAACAACTTAACAAGATTTGTGTTCCTACTTTAATTCTCCTTTTTCTTTGCTTTCTGGTCCAGGCATTAGTTTTGCTTATATTTCTCTCTATTGTCTTATTATGAGAAATAGGAAATCAACAACATTGAATCTACTAAACCACCCACTAGTCATGAAAATCTTGTCTTATCCATCTTTACCTTCCTGGGTATTATTAAACAATTGCTGTTGTTTCATCAGAGTAACATGTAACTTCGGCCTAAAGTCAATCTATTGTTGGTCTGCCTAGTTTGCCTTTACTTTGCCCCATCTTTGCTGTACTTTTCTTTAAATCATCAATTCCATAAATTTCTCCAGCAGGTTTATGTAGAGTATAGTTAACCTATAATAATTGTGTCAAACTAAAACTCAGCTAGTAATTCTTTGAATGCTTCACAGTCATTTTCTTGGTTTTTCCCCTTTAAAAACTGAGCAGTTTCTCTGTAGGCTCCTGACATTTAAGGGTGAGTCACTTATTCTCAATATATAGTCTCAGTATTAACATTATAATTCTTCATAGTTTATTCAATGTGGACTTCCTGTGGGGATGCCATGACTCTCTGAGATCTTATCCATCACTCTCTGTTGGATTTCTTTGAACTCCAGGCTCCTTTTTTATTTAACAAAAACATCTTCTCTTTTACTGTTACGTTTAGAACAACCAGACCTGAAAATGTCACTCCTTTTCTTTCATACCTTTCACCCTCATATTTAAGAACGTATTTTCCATTCTTAGCTCTCCAGCCTATGTTTTAACCTAAAAGCTTCTTGTTCAGGAAGGCTGATTAAAGCCAACCACACAGGCCAGTAATGGTGACTCATGCCTGTAATCCCAGCACTTTGGGAGGCTGAGGTGGGAGAATTGCTCAAGCCTAGGTGTTTGAGACTCAGCCTGGGCAACAGGGTGAGACCTCATTTCTACAAAAAAAATAAAAATACATGAGACAAGCATGATGGCATGTGCATGTCCTAAGGCTGAGACAGGAGGATTGCTTGAGCCCATGAATTCGAGGTTACAGTGAGCTACAATCACACTGTATGGAATGATAGATGGTCCCTTAAGACTTAAAACCTACATGTGCCAGCCCCTCAAAAAAAACCTGTGTTTCTGAATGAGGTCCAACTCAACAAATTGTACTTAGAGACTATATTGGGTATTTTAGGACACAATAAATAGAAACTCTCTTCTTTGCCTAAGTTCAGAATTTATTTGTTGACTGACAAAACTGTCAATTAAAAATCAAACTGTCAGCCGTATTTCCAATAAAGGGCTGGCTTAGGTAAATAGTGGGGAAAAAAAAAACATAACTGGAAACCCCAAATAGTTAAATCCACCTAACACAGAAAGACCTGGTTAATCACAGACTTTCAAGTTGCACAGGTATAAGCACTACATAATATTAAAAATAACATTTATGTTATTATAATTTCATAAATCTGTTACTTTAGAATCAAGAACTAAGAGCTTACAAGGGAATTCATAAAATTTAATGTCATCAACATTCTTGCTTAAGCAAGTTTTGAATCATCAGTGTTAATTATATTTTTATTATATATCTCATTATATTTCTTACTTTTCTCCCCTGGAATACATTTAGTTTCCAGTTTCATATGTCAGCATCTCTAGAAATGTGATGATAGGGCAAGTGGCAAATTCCTTGAGTCATTAGAGACCTGAAAATATATTTTACATCTAACATCAGTTGATAATTTCCCAAAATATAGAACTATTGGTTAAAAATAAATTTGTCCTCAGAACTTTGAAGTTATGGCTCTTCTTGCTTCTAGTTATGGCTAATGATCAATTGATTGCCATTCTTTTGTATATAGCATGTAGGATTTCTTTTTCCTCTCTCTCTGACAGTTTTTTAAATTTACTTTTGCTTTATCTTTGGTGTTCAGAAATGCCATAAGTATGTGTCTATTCAAATGTTGTGTTTCATTTTTCTACTTTATACTTAGCAAACTGAAGACTTGTTAGGCTGAACTATTTGACATCTGTTACTCTAGAGGATTCACATTTCTACACTCAACTTTGATTCCAAGAAGCTTAGTCTTACACAGACTGCTGGGATTAAAGATGAGGATGTCTGTTTCAATAGTAATTCACCTCTCTAATTCTCAAGACAGTTCTGAACAGGCAGTGAACTTATTAAAATTGACAG